CTCCTTCACACAGGGTTATAAATGTACAAGCACCTCTCTGGGGTCTTAGCCTTACTTTCCTTTGTAGCTCCTGCAATTTGTGGTATTAAAGCTACTACACGACACACACTCAATAAGTACTTGTGCAGTGAGTTTCTTTACTACAGAAATCCACCTTTTTCAAATGATTCTACAGTTTATCACAAAGTGATAGAGCAATGTGCGGCAGGAATTTGCATTACTGCTTTTCTCTCTGAAGGCTTTCAAAGGTTTTCATAGAATAACTATAATTCAAGAGACAACACAGGCCCAGCTGTATTCTTTCTGACAATTTTGATTTGAATTGCTTTTCTAAAAAAGTAATTTGTATCCCAACTATTCTGAATTTAGAGATACAATTACACATCAGTAGTATCATATGCTATTTAAATAAGTAAGAGTTCTCTTGCTTTGGCATTTAATACCAGATCCAAATCAAATGTTTATTTGTTTGAGTTTGTTCTTCAGAAAGAAAATGTAGAAAAATTTGACATGCAGCACAAGAATATTATATTTATTCTTTAAAATGTTAACCAATGATCCTGAACATCTCAGATGCTCTTAAGAAGAAGCATTGTGTGTACAGAGGAGACTAGAACAACAGGGACAGCTTTGCTTGCTGAATATAAGGCTAAAATAGATTCTTTGCTTCTGTTTCCACCCCTACTCCAATTGACTCCATTGATACTTTCTTTCTTTTTCAAATTAGGATTATTGGTTCAGTTTAGATATGCATAATGATCACATTCATCATAAGGAATTTTTACCTGTACACGATAAAAAAGAACTAAGCTATTTTATTTCTAAGCAGTACAGGAAGGATTTTCTAAGATGCATTGCTGAAGAACCTTCAAAGAAAATATTTCTCAGACTTCATCATCCTGCATCTTCAAATTTCTTTCATGGCATTAAAGTGGTTCCTTTTTTTGTTGTTGTTTTTCTCCAGTACCAGGAACCGAACTCACGACCTTGCACTTGCCAGGCAAGCGCTTTTGCCGCTGAGCTAAATCCCCAGCCCTTTAAAGTGGTTCCTTTATTCTATGAATATTTTCAGAAAACTTTAACTGAGAGACAGCCTCTTCAACTAAGTATTAGTATATATTCATTTCAGTATGAAATTTGAATTTTGGGGTAATGAATGAGGAACCCTGTAAAAAGCAAGAGTGTATTAGTTCCAACTTTGTATTCTTCTAATTTAGTATTCCAGGAAGGGTGCTATTGGAGAGTAGGTTGTTACTTTAATAACTTTATTCAAGAAATCTTTAAATGTGTGTATGCTTTCTGAGTGTATACACGGGATGGTAATATATTACTAAAGGACAATTGGAATCCAGGACAACATCTTTCTTAGCTGGATTTCTGCAGCATGCTAAATACTTCCCTCAGCTCCAGTCCATGGTAGACATAACAAGGCTGCCAAGGGCTTCCTTCTTCTAATGTAAATATAGTCATCACCTGGCTTCAGGGAATTCCTCTGTGGAAGCTCTCTGTCCTTCTGGAGCATTACATGTATTTTTCTTTTTCCTTTCAGAACTTCTTATCACATGGCCGCTTTGTGTGCTCCCATACTTGGTATTTTGCATCTACCCTCATCACAGGCTGTGTGGAGATCTGTTTATTTCACTTTTGCAATACATTGGAAGGTTGTTGACAATGAGTTGCACCTCACCTTTATGGTCCTGCCCACTAGTCTGTGAATCACTTAGCAAAGATTCAGGAAATGTCAACCAGACTATGGAGTGACTGCAGTAAGCTAGACTCTCTCACCATAGGTTCTTTCTTTTCTAAAAGAGGGTATATGTTTTATTAAAGTAAACTGAAGGACATAAAAACTCTTATATAAATGCTAAAAATTATATAATAAAAGTGTATTTTTATTATAATTTATCACATATTGAAAGAAAATTCAAAAGAGACCATAAATGGCTCAACTGTTTGAGAACCTGCTGTGTGGAAGAGCTTTTTTATAGTCTGCTATATCAGTGTTTTCCTACCTATTTCATATCAAAATTCTCTTAACTTTTCTAATTCTACTTCTCTGACACATAGTTCTGGTACAGGTTCTGTCATTAATTTAATCGGGAGTGGACCTAAATTGAAAAGATGAACTTTTTAGGTATGGTTGAAGGGGAAATTTATCAAATAACATTATATATGCCATGAAGAAAGGCAGCATCCAACTGAATAGGTTTTCTCCTCTGCATATACTCTTGTGTAATTAGAAATATTACAGACCAAATTCTAGGTCAATAAGGAAGCACATTGTGAAATCTTACAAATATGTACATTGAGTTATGCCTTATATTCAGATTTCATGTAACCTCAAACAATTAAATTGGCTGTGCCTTTGGATTTATCTACTAAAAGTAAATTTTTATGGGTGATTCTCAGAAAACTGGGGTTTCTAATCAACCATTAGACATGGGGAAAGGAGAGAAGCAAAAAGACTTAATAAACTATGGCTTTGCCCTAACTAAGCCACAATTTAAACCTGTGTATTTCCTCTTTTATTGTTGTTCTTCACATTTGGCTTCCATTAAAAAACAAAGTATAAGTATCTTGCAGGAGCTAGAAGGCCCTTGAAGGATCTGGCCTCTGGCAGTTACTCCAGCATGTCTCATCTCTGTTCTCCCTTTTGCAATATTTCGTGTTTCTCACATACACCACTCTCAATCTGAACTTTTTTTCCTTGTTTACTCTGAGCAAATCATTCTTCCTTCAGCTCCTCACAAAATCTACTCACTCCCATCATCACTTCTCAGCTTAAGTGTTATCCTCTCAGAGAGGAAGTGTTCCTGACCACCTTAGCTAAAAGAGTGTCTCTGAGTTACTGTCTGTATTAGACCAAATTTCTTTTGGGCTCCTGATGTCCCTTGTTGGTTAACCTTTCTCTAGGATGAGCAGCTAGATGGCCACCTGGTTAGAGTCTGAATGTCAGAACCAGGGCCAACATTCTCCTTAAAGAAACTCACTTTATCCTTTGGAATGTGTAGAGGGTATGCTTTAAGGAAATTGTTAAAAAGAAAGGCAGGTAGGATGGAAACAACTGCTTCAAGATGAAAACATGAATCTGCAGTCATATTTATTTTATGCAAAAGCACAAAATAAAAAAGGAAAAATTATGGAAAACTTGAAAGTATCACTAAAGTAACTATTGTGATGGTTTTCAAATACTGGCCTTTAATATGACATGCCTGTGATTAAAACAAGCTAGTAAATGAAGATGGCATAATGTCACATTGCCTTACACAGTTGCATGACTCACACAGGAAATAATTTACAGATAGCTTGGTTTGTTTAGAGTTAAATGCTATACAGAAACATTCACTTTTTTATTCAAAAAAATATTGATTATAAGCCAAACATGTGTATCTTGGTGATGCTGAATCATAATCTTCACCTTTCTGAGATTTTCAGTCAGGAACAATTGTGAGAAAATATCCCACTCCAGAAGCCAGGTTACCAGGCAAACAAGGAGGAGGTACCTAAGACTGCCAGAAAAGGTAAAGTTCACCACTGTATAATATGAGTCTGAATAATGGAGGATTTAAACACAGAAAAATATTTGAAAGAGTTCAAAATAAAGCCAAGATTTGATGCCCGGGTACCTGGTGAATAACGATCCCGGTGACGGAGAAGAGCACACTGGGAGGAATCCAAGATATTCACCTAAGCAGGGGTAAAGATGTTTGCTTTAATCATCCTGAGTTTGCGTAATCTCTGCAAGTTGAATACATATAAACCTTGAGATAAACATTAAATTCAAGATCCAGGGAAATTTGGAGTCAGATACGTAAATTTAAAAATTCAATATTAAGGAGGGTGGCACGGTAGCTGTCATTTGCCGGAGGAATAAACAACGCTTGCAGTTCAAATGATTAGCTCAGAATTTAGTTCTCAACGCTGAGTCCGTGGGGGAGGGGAAGAGAACGCGAGCTAAACGGCCAGGCAAAGCGGGATTGGGTGAGGAGCGAACGCGCGTGAGAGCACAGGAAATCCTACATGCTGACGCGAATGCGCCCGTGCCCGGTCCAGTATCCAAAGAATCTCTGCCAAGGGCGAGTCGGTAAGCGGAGGACAGATTCCACGGGCAGAAGGGGAACGATGAAAAGGAACGTACTTAAGAATGATCTATTGACCTTTCTAACCCCTGTGACAGAACACCTTGTCATCAGGTTAAAACAAGCAGCTCAGCGGATGAAAGCAGAGCGCGCTCAGATCCAGTGGCTGCGGCGCGCGGTAAATAAAAGCCCGCGAGGGTCCTCCGCCCCACCCTGCGCGTAAATCACACACCTCGGAAGTTTTGTATTAGAGAGCCCAGCAGGGGAGGAAATTCTCCGCAAGTAAAGAAAGTAGAACTAGGGCAGTCGGAGGAGATTGAAAGGGCAAAACTATCAAGCGAGAACACTGTAAGTTCTGATTAGTTTTATGACTTTGCCTTCATGCCTCAGGAGCTCCATTGATCAGCGGCTCTCGCGGCGAGAAAGGAGGCGGGGTGTGCGGGGAGGGCGAGGCTTGCAAACAGTCTCCAAACTCTGCCAGCTCCGTGCTTTCAGATGCAAATACTTCGCGGGGAGATGGATGGGACTCAGCCCCTCCTACTTTCAGCCCTCTTCTTTATTTTCCAGGGAAGGAATCCATCTGTACAGATCTGTCGGGGGGAGGTGGAGGAGGGCGCGCGTGTGTGCGCGCGTGTGTGTGTGCGCGAGTGTCGGCCGAGCGGCTCCCGCTTCGCGTGCTTGGCCCGTAACCCGCGCTGGGTCTCCGGAAGGTGCGGAAGTCTTGGCGGCTGCCCGCGCCGGCCTGGACCGCGCTGACCGCCCGCACCGCGC